ACTCCTGCTTATCGAGGAACATCTTGGGTATCTTCCGCCCTGGTACTCGTATCCACGTCTTCTGTCTGGCTGCGTAAACTTTACTGATATATGACTCAACCAGTGCCTTTTTTGCCCCCTCCCCTGTACATTGAAAAGTTAAAGGCATACGTCTACCAGCGAGGTGAATTCGTGCAGTGTGTAAGATGAGCAGGTCCTCAGCTGGAAATGACACTTTTGTCGTTTCGCAGGGAGGGAAGATGTGGCTGGAGTATGGTTAGCAAAGTTGAGTCTTTATGGAACCAGTCCCCAGTAATAAGTTTTGAAAAAATAGGTTGACACAGATTGATTCAACCTTCCGCCTATGCCGACATATTTGCTCACAGGTACGACACCGCTCCCGACCTAAGGGCTGAGAACGTGGACATCCCTCCCAACACACAACGAATTCCTTTTATCAGCGGAAGAATGCTGTTTAGTGGGTTATTTTTTTATTGCAGAACTATACAGCATTTTACAGCATAGAGAGATCAAACATCTAAGTTAACCTAGCAAATCACAATATGGAATCACATTCACTGATAATCTACAGATATATTCTAGCATAGTAATTAATTGCTAGTGAAACTGTATACATTCAACACGAGAAGCACGACATATAAGAGCAAGCTTCAGGCTCCCCTTGCCGGAAGATCAGCCCTCCTCTTGCAGATCGAATTGTATTGCATGTTGCAGTAGTAAAAGAATGAATATTGAGTGAAAGTGGAGCTGTAATGTGCAAGCACTGCGTGACCTCTGCACATCCACCCCGTTCATTCTCATGGTGTAACCAGGGTGACAGAGGCCTAATCTCTGAAAACCAAAGGTGACCATCAAGCGCCGAAGCATATTAGTAGAAGTCAAGAAAATCTAACGAGAATCCACATTTGCGGCGAACGCGCCGGAAACAACTATACAGCGGGGGGGCCAAAGACACCGGAGATCACATATCAGCAAAGTTTCCCGGACAGATGACATGGATACGAGTACCAGGGCGGAAGATACCCAAGATGTTCCTCGATAAGCAGGAGCTGGCTCTCACCCATCAGCTTCATGTACACCAAAATATGAAGTCATCTCCAGTCGCAGCCTGACTGGAGAAGACCTTTGGAATTCATGTCACCTCCAAACAGCTGCGAAACTTCTAGCATGGAGTCACCCATGATAGCTACCCGGAGAGCAGTACCCTCGATCTGGAAGACCTCCATCATCGAGCAAGCTCCCGTCAACGTTGCTACGGTTCTAGACTCATCTCAACCCGCGTCGCACCAGCCTCGACCACGGCTCGACAAGCGCGCATTGATGTGGGCGACCCCGCAAAGTACCTGACTGGGAGAGACCGATACTTTCTTCGTGGACTCACTGAAGGTGAGCGCCGGCGGTTACATCGAGCAACTCGAGAAGGATATCCTCCCACATGTCGTCGCCCGTACCTTCTTGGAAACTTTGTACTGCTACAGGATTGGGTACACACCACATGGACCATCAAAGGCGCGTTGGAAAGCCTGAAATGGACAGGTCGAGTACCCTGAAAGAAGGTAGAATACTCTGAGCAGACTCACCCACCTGACCTACCCACCATCGTACACTACTTTGGTCTTCGGCTCTCGGAGCTCACACGGGTGGTCTACAATGGTGGAGAAATCTATCTCGCTGATCTCAGGCACCACATCGCGGTCGCGTGACAGAATCTCTCGATGGCGCTCCTCCAGAAGGCTATGCGCCGGAGTATTGTGAGTATTTAAATATGCTCTTTAACGTGGTGGTAGAGTTGTCCGATAAGAATTCAATGAAGTGTAACTTATAGCGCTTCGAAAGTCAAGGAAGAAAAAAGTCTTTTTATTGGGCCTCCCCCTGTACACTTGTTTGCTGCAGGTGAAGAGGCGTGTAAGGAGATAGGGGTTTGGCACGGCGCCAAACCCTCGCTCCGCTACTTGAGGGGGTAAGCGACAACAATGAGGAGGACGACTGATGCAAACGATATAAGTCTTTTCGTTTGCTAACTTTAGTAACTGGTGAAAAACTGGTTTGGCACAGCACCCCCGTGCTGACCCGCCCTTCTCGCAGCGAGCAAGACTGTACAGCCTTTATTCTCACAAACAAGGGAGCGCTAGAGGGGGGAATGAACTGAAGCGCAGCTTAGCAACACCGCCTTCGCCTTGCCGCTGCAACCTGGACCTGCCCGCCGACACCCAAAGCACCCACCCCCACCCCTTCCCCTTGCCCTCCCCCCAAATCAAAGAAACTCACAGTTCAGCAACGTTGAGCCCTCCGCTGGTTTTCCACTTTGGCATGTACGAGCCTTCACGCTTCATTCCAACCCAGCTCCAGTACTTTTCCGGCACGTTTTTCACCACTTCCTTCTAAAAAAACAATATCAACACAACGAGTCAAGCGATCAAAACCTTTAGCGCAGTTCGGCTTTATGGGAGGGGGGGGGGAATTAGGTGCTCCCCATTGGTCACTGCCGATGCTTGTGGAGACCTGTAAACTCCTACAAAGCTGTGCAAAAGCAAGACGTTGGTTTACACTGAGAAAGAGGGTACAGGTCTTACCAAGCTAAGACGGGTAATTTAACAGGAATCAGCAACAGAAACAATTGAAAGTGCGAAGTTCCCCGTCCCCCTCTCACAAGGCGAACACGCCGAACATTAAATTCTGTCGCTTACCCATTCTACTGCTGAATTTGGAACAAACAGTCTTCCACCTTTTGCTGCACAATTGGATTCAGCCTTGTCAAAAGTCATCCGATTCCTCTCGTAGAAGTAGCACGAATTGAACAACCGCAACCAACCATCAGGACAGGCGGTTTCCTGCAAATGAACCCTGATTAGGAGATGTACTGCTTATGAGCTGCTGAATCATACCTCTGAACGTCTTAGTCGGTGGGGAGCTACGAAGCTCAAAAGGCAGATAAGAAGAGTGCACCTACAAAGTGAGGAATAAAGCAAGATACGAAGAGCTACAAAAGAAAAGGACTTACTTCGCGAGCATAATCGTCACCTTATGAGGGGTACTGGGCCCTTTTATAGGCTCCATTAATGATCGTGTAAAGATTTCTGGGCGCGAAACATGGACCGCTGAGATGGACTACCGCTGCAATTCTATTGAGATCAAATGGAGTTGATGAACAGAACTGGCATCCTGGTAGTTTCCACGAAAATCAGGAGAAAACGCCCACATTTACAATCAGCCTCAGTATCTCTCTGGGACTATCCTGGAGTACACTTACCGAAGGGACGCTCCAAAAATGTCAAAGGAAACTGAAGTAGTTCCGTCCTCTCTGATCTGTAGGTGACATTGGAATTGATGGCAAGATCACAGCACCCCCATGGATGACCAATCGGTTTTTTACCCGTGCAATTTTGAGTTGTGTAAGAAATTTACTGGTTTTTCACCTAGTTGCTGAATTTCAGCAACACCAACTGTTCATAAACGATCAGGAGATCCGATCAGTCTGCAGACAGATATGTCCTTCGACGGGTCGAATTGGCGCGGTTTGGCGACGGGGGGCATTTTGTAACTAATCACTTGTTCCGCGTTGGTTACAGGTTTACTCTGGCCAAACCCTGTGATCTCTTGTGAGGGAGCAAAGTCGTCAGCCTGCATAATAAAACCTTTCACCTTTCACGTCAAGGAGAGGATGTCTAGATGGTCGAAAAGTTGATGGGAGAGCAGCAAGTGCCAAAATGCCCCCCTCCCCCTCCGTCGCCGAACTGCTCCGGTAAAATTTATTGCACCTCCCAAATACAAGAAGTTCAAACTGCATGTGAAACCGTTTAGGGATGAATGCATACGTGATTTATGCGGGTACGTCCAAGTTCACATCTGCATCCCATCTCAGTTACTAGTCATGGGCTATGGAAGTAGGCGCGTGAAGGGCGTGAGCTGGAACGCAGCCAGAACAGCCCTTCCCCCAATTGTTGCGGGCTCAGCATATTATCATGATCTAAAGGCCGTCCTGGCAACACTCAAATTCTTACCCCCGTTACACCGCTCGTCGTTCGCATGGATAACTGGATGTGTTCGCCAATAAATGAGCTATCTAGAAAAAGCCAATGGTGAGTCGGTTTGGCGAAGGTGGATCCGAACTTGCGGCCCACTCTTACCGCAGCTTCACCTTTGCGTCGTTCACGTTCTTCTGATCAAGAAACAGTTACGTGCAGTTGAAGACAAACTGTACACGAATCTCCGAGGACGATTCTTGCCATGTGCGAGGCGCATCGACTCACTGCTGCACTAGCTTGCCACTTTCTCCGACAGAAGTGCATGGGAACGAAGGCTGTTGGGTAATCTTACCCGAGTGCCGTCTCAATACGCCACCCACGCTATCCTCAAAGTGAAGCACATGCGCAAGATCTTGCAGCAAAACACGCATTCAGCGGTAGAAAGCAATCAGTAGAAAAGGCTCAGACACGTAGCGTGTTTGGCTATTGTTAGGCGTGTGGCTGCCGTATGGCAGGAGGAAAGGAGCATGGAAAAAGGTACCGCCACTGTCCAGCCGTGTTCCCAAACACTTCTGGCAGGAGAAAGGGGAGACGGGCAAGAGAATTAAATTGCCGCTTCGTCGCGCGCGCAATGGGCGCGACGTTTCCTTAATTTGCACTACCCTTTCGATTGAAGCATCGGATTTCATGTAGACAAGGACATGGTAAGCAATCATGTCTATTTTTAGTCATACATTGTCTATTCCAGACCAATAGAACCTAAGCGTCGCGACGTCGCACGCGACGACTGGCGCGGCGACTTACGATTCTCTTGTCACATACCCAGGAGGAAGTGGCACACTATTGCAGCTGCCATTCACCCCACACATGGCAAGGACCACGGATCCGCGGCGTCTGATGTACAATTTTCCTCTCAGGCACACTTTACCTACCAAGGGAATTCTAAACGTGATGCCAAAACTGGATTAGTGCATGGCTATCAGACGAAAGACACAGCATCTAGAAGGCATTGACGATTCTCATAAGCTCCTGGCGCAATGCGCCCTGAATGATAAAAGGATTAACGGTCATTCAGATTTTCGACTTCTCATGCATATTTCGTGATAATGAATGTCCCTGGGGATTACTGATAAGGGCACCCATGAAATGGTCAGT